TTTGCCTGTCAGCGGTATGCTCCTCTCCAGCTGCTTGCTATTGAGACTAAAAAGCTAATACGTTGAAAATAATCTTGTTTGAGGAGCTGCACCTGTAGAGATACAGTCAGTAAGTGTTTGTTAATGCCTCAGTTGCTCTTATTCACCCCAATAGTAACTGTATACTGACACCTGTTGGCCTGGATGAATGCAGTTTGCTACTATCTGCTGCTGCTTCACACTGAAGCCGTTGGTTTGTCCTCTCTTTTGTTAATTTTTTATCTGTTTGTCTCAAACTGCATAAATCTATAGAACAGCCCTTCTTGTATTCAACCTTTCATCACTAGACCAATGCAAACTTCATTTTAAATATTTTATTTCATTAAAAAAAACAACAACAACACTGTAATCCTGAAGAGAGATCCACCAATCAGAAAGATGCTGTTATCATGTAATCATGAATCATGCTGTTATCATGAAATATACAGTGATGTTTGTTTGTAAAGTGAATTTGATCATTTATGCTTAATGTATTTGTAAATATTTTAGGATCACTCACTATTAATGCAATAAATGTCTAATAAAGGCAGGCGTTTACTCAAGTATTTTCATGACCTTATCTAAAGTTAGAAGTACTGTATTTACTTCTAATAAATCATTAACGAATCCTTTACTACTGTTTTAAATACTGAACATAAGAGCTAATTAAACAACAATATCTCGTAAATTACAGTGGCAGCGAATTAAGAAATCACTATTTGTACATAACCCATTAATGTATTAACAATGTAGACTACAGTTTATAAACAACAAACTAATGATTTATACATGCTTTGTTACTGTATACTTATTGTAAAGCGTTACAGATGAAAGTCATTTGAAAATGTACAACTAAGAAAAGCAGTTGTAAACAAAACCGCTGTCAGAGCCTGGACTGCTGTATCATGAGCATTTTCTGCCTCTGTGACAAGAGGCTGAACACTGAAGCCTTTCAGCAGATTACAGCGTCTTTCTGCTGTCAGTGTGCGGCTGTGTGTGTGAAACGCCAGGAAGAGCTGAACAGTCCATCGCCTCAAGCACTTGTTTGAAGTCAGAGTCTAGCTGAGGCCTGCAGAAGGAATAAATCAATGCAGCCACAGTAATAAATTATTTCCTTCATGCAGTCCAAGTCGGAGGCTGAGATAAAAGAAGCCCACATGCTGGGCATCTAACAGCCGGGAGCCGCTCTGCCGTCATTGGAGTGCTGCAGCAGCACTTGTGCGTGTGCAAATGCAAAACGTATGGGGAACTGCATTTCCTTCCGCTAAACGCTCTTTTGCTCTGCCAAAGCTCACATGTAAAATAATAAAGATGAGCACTGGAGTCATCAAGAACTTGGCAGAATTACTAATCTGGCCTCCTCTTTGGTGCTTGCAGATACACAAACTAGGAAAATGTAAAATCAATTTTTTTAAAACATTATATTTTCTTTAAAATATGTGAGTTTCTGGGTGGCTCCCAGGGCAGAGGCTATGGGCTGAGCAATAAACAATATCATATCAAGATCTTGATAAAATATTTGTGGTAACAAATAATTTTAAAGACTAATTCTCACTATTAATTAGTTGCTTATCGGTATGCATATTACTAGCATATTGGGTGTTCATTAATACTTCTAAAGTACATATTTATGCCTTCTTCTGCATGAGCATATTTTAGATTCCTTAATCCACCCAATACCTAAACTTAGCAACTACCTTACTAACCATTAATAAGCAGCAAATTAGGAGTTAATTGAGGCAATGTCACGAATCCTGTGCCTGCCCTTCCGTTCGCTCACCACCAGAGATCACCCGCTCATTACGATGGACTCCTGCACCACACTACTATTGCACTTCACACCGGACTACATTTCCCATCATCCATTGCACTGATTACACACACAGCTGCAACCAATCAAACACCCTACATAAGCCATGGACTTCCTCTTCCTCACTGCAGAGTATTGTTTGCGCATATCGCTACGTAAGTTACGGTTACGGAGCCCTTTTCCTAGTCAAGTATTTGTTCCTAGTTCTAGTCTAGTCTTGTCTCATTGTGTTATCTGATTGCCTGATTCTCTGCCTGCCTTGGATTTCTTATGCCTTGTCGTTTGGACTCCCCTTTACTGAACTATCGCCTGTTTGTGGATTACCCGTTTGCCTTGCCCTCTGGATTACGTTCGCCGATCGAAGACCCTCGCCTGCCCTAGGAAAACTCTTTGCCTTGCCTGTGATGTACCTGTGTTGTTATCTGACCCTTGCCCGTTTTTTGACCACGCCTTTGTAATAAAGCGTTGCACATGGATCCGCAGGTCTCATGTTCTGATTACTCCGTATCAGGCAAAAGTCGTTGTTAATAGTTAGTTTATATTGAGAACTGGACTACTTAAAATAAAGTGTGACCATTATTACTATTATTGTTATTTATTTATTTTATTCATGTGCCATTGTAATATTTAATCTAAAATATCTGCTTTCCCTCCCCTCGCTATCTTTGATGATGTGAGGACTTTAGCAGCCTGAGATCACAGCAACAGAAAACAACACTGATCTAATGATACAATCAATTCCTGGTGGACAAAATCAAGTACTGTCCTACATTTTTTTTCCCATTTGAGAATCTGTTTTACTCAAAATAGGTCACAATAAAGAAAAAAGATGCAGATGTAAAAGGTTTCTCATTGAAAGCAATGGTTAACTGGCTGCGTTGCAATAAAGACACCAGAGGATGCTTTTGGCATCAGTATAGTTACACGCATTTCCTATGAACAAACGACCATATTTGACACCTTGGGAGCAGTGTTGGGGGTAACGCATTACCAGTAATGTGAGTTATGTAATCAGATTACTTTTTTCCCAAGTAACTACTAACATAATGCATTACTTTCGAATTTACAATGACATATCTGAGTTACACAGTTTACTTTGTTTTCCCATTTATTCTTGACACATCTCCTGTCCCCATGTTGAGAGAACTTGGGAGTGAGAGGTGCAAAGGCAGATACACTTCCTTTAGCCCGAGGCTTATTATTTCACTTTTGGTGTGAAATGGCCTTTACAGTTGCCAAAAATATAACTTTTGGGCTTTTTGTTATTACATAAGCAAGCCAAGTTCAGGTGAAAAAAATAACACAGAAGTAAAGTCATGCATTACTTTCCATAAAGATTAACTAAATAACACAATTAGTTACTTTTTAAATGGAGTAATTCAATATTGTAATGCATTACTTTTAAAAGTAACTTTTCCCAACACCGCTTGAGAGTGAGAATGGGTTGGTACTTTACAACCTTACTTGTAAATGTTCTTAAACTACCTTCATTAAGCAACCTCGTGGAAAGGCACTATACAAATGAAACTACTTCTTCTTCTTCTACATCCCAATTTAAGTAAGAACTTACTGTACTAAGGTTGGTACAGTGCTACCCTATTCCATATATTTGACTTGAGAAAAACAGTGGCGTAGTGCAAACCCACTGGGGCCCCCGAGAACCATGAGTCTGTGGCCTCCGGTAAATCATGTTCATGGAGGACTGGCAAATAACCTGTTAATGATGCATATATGCACCAATTTTTGATCAGAGTGTGATTGTAAATAATATTTTGCCAAGGTAAGATTATTAGTACATAATAACTTAAAGTGGTCATGAAATGCATTTTTAAAAATATATTATAATGCTTCTTGACATGCACTTATAATCTTACAGTTTTTTTTCATCAAAAATGTCCATAATTTAGATATAAATGCTAATTTTCTACTCTGATTTTAGCCTCTGATTTGAATGTTCAGTTGGAGGGGCGTGTCTGCTGTGAAGCGTTAATGGGAACGCCCACTGCTGTGATTGGCTGATATCTTTGCATATGAAATGAGCACTACATGTGAAACTCTCTGGAAAACCTTTCTTGCGTTTTTACTATAACAGATAGACTCATGCTGCTCCAGCAATTATAAAGACAACCATCTTTGATGGCTTAATCACAATATATAGAACAGATGGTTTTTTAAGCTACTGACAGGAACAGTATGAAATTGATCGTTTAATCACTGTCTTGATTCACTAATGCAGAAACAGCAGTAAACCATTTTGGGACAAAGCACATCTGTACATGAGTCCTTACATACTACATCCATATTAATGTCTTATTCTGCATGATCATAATTTATATCCCTTAATCCACCCCATACCTAAACTAACAACTACCTTACTAAGTATTGATTAGCAATCAACAAATTAGGAGTTTATTGAGACAAAAGCCATAGTTAATAGTTAGTTAATAGTGAGAATTGGACCATAAAATAAAATGTGACCTTCATAAGATGTTTTTCGAGGTTTGTCCCGATTTTAAATCCAGGAGTTTCAGAAGGATAGAAAAGAATAATTCATATTTTAAAATGGGGAGTTAGTTTTGAGTTCTGAAACTAGTAGTGTTTTTACTGTAGCATAACCTCTCAAATTTGTAAATATCAAGAATATTTTGATTCACGACCCCTTTAACCTCTGGCGCTTTGTGTGACTTCAGTAGACTTGGAAACAGTGCACAAGTCATTTGAACTAGTTTGTGTCTGTTTTTGGAGCTGGAAAGAGCTGCATTTAAATCTGTTTGCACATACAGGTTTGAAGCAAGCAATGACAGCACTTCATATTTGAGAAAGCTATTCTTTTTCAATTCAATCTGAATGGCTTTTCATTTTATGTACTGTAAGCATGCAATTAGAGATACTGAATAACCTCTCTGTCAATGTGCATCTGATCATTTAGTAAAGTAGCAGCACGTGTCTCCTCAACGAGACATATGATTTGAGGAATCGTTCTTGAACGAATCAAGCCCGCCAAAGAGGCTGCAAAAATTTGCATTTATCAAACCTTTTGCCAGCCTCTGAAACCCCTTAAGGTTTGGGAGAATTCCCAGACACACATTTACATCTCCTCCTCCTCCTCCTCCTCCTCCACACAAATGAGATCTTTACAGAGACTGCGGTGGCTCAGACTCTTCCGGATGATTCACATTGTGGCACGCATTACAGAACGCATGGCTGATTTTATTCTGGATGACAGCTGGCTCTTCCCATTGGGCCACAATGGATGCAGGACAGGACAAGACAACATCGGTAATGACAGCGGCGGCTTGTGTCCATCTGTTATGAGGAGAAAAGGGCATTAAAACTTAAAGCCTTTTCAAGACACATGGTAATTAATTAAACATGTGCGACTGGCATCCTTAGTTACCACGGAAACCATCCAGGTGCAATTAGTCACAAAAGCTAATTTGGGTCAACAACAACTTCAAAAAACAAGAACTTCACGCGCCTGCCTGAGCGAATACAAATGTGCTTTACTCTACGAATATTTCCTAAAGCAGCAAAAAGCAAGACAAACGTGCGCCTCAAACCCAGTCTGTGTTTCATGCATCTGGAGTGTAATCAGCTTTATTCACAAACATAAACAGCTTACGGTCCCTTGTGTAAAAGAATTTAAAGTGCACTCGTAGTACTTTTTATTTATTTATTTATTTTTTTTTACAAATTGTACTCGCAAATAATTAAAGGCCACTTAAGTGACTTAAAGACTGTTTCATGATTATGTTTGACGTTATTACAAAGTGCACAAATTAAACATTTTATTCTAAATTTGTCATGCTTTAAAGTGCACTTAGTTTGATGCGTTTAACTAACATACTAACGCACATGTAAAGTATTTGATTATTTTAATTATAATTTGAACTCTAGTGTCTTGTTTTATATTACATTTAAAGTTATGATATTTTAAATGTGCTAATTTGCAACTTAATCATTTCAAATGTGTAATTACAAATATATTTAAATACATGACATACAAGTTTAATTAGAAATTGTCATGAAAGTATATTTTAGTTTAGTATAAATGCTTGTCAATACATTCAGCAGTACACTTTAACCATATTTCAAAGACAATAGAAGTAAACATGGAATTACATACAGTATAAAGATGCACTTAAGTCCTACTTAAGTGGGGTTAAAGTGCAATTAATTTAATTCATTTTTCATTTTATTGCAATCAGCATGCAGCATGCAATTAAGTGTATTCTTATATTTTTTAAAAGTATATTATGCTAAAGTGATGCAATAAAGTGTACTTTTTCACAAGGGTTATCAAGACAGTATTTTGAGGCCTCATAGATGTACTCTTAATGCAAAGATAGGCAAAAACATTATGCAGTCTTCTAATACACCTCATTTAAGCAGCATCACTTTTAAGAAAGCAATCCTAGAATGCACTCTGTACAATTTTCATGCAAAACTAAAAAACTAGTCACAATAAAATGTCAGCTATTTATGCTCATGTTAATAAAAATGGACTATTTGACACAATATTTGCACTTAATTGGCATATATTAATGGACATTATTAGAAAACTTTATCAGCTAAGCTAACATGAAACTCCACTGGAATCACAAATCTAGTTTTTGTGTGGAAACTGGAGCGGCTGCTTCATTTCAAATGAGTCACTTATGTGGCTAGCAAGATAGCAAGTGAGGTGCTGACAGCAGAGCTAGTGTCTCTGTTCGACATGTTTAATTAACTCCTTGTCTGATTCAGTAATTTAGCCCCTAGTGAGACCTGTGACCCCCTCTGATATGCAAAAACCTTGCCTGACCGGCCAGAATGAGCCACGCAGCTCGGTCAGATGGGACAGACAGAGAGACTCGCTAACCTTCAGCGCCGCTGTCAGGCACAGGAGCCCTGCTCTCAGCGGGACCTTTTTCTCAAGCAATTACACCCGTTCATTCATTCCTGCACCCAGCTGCTCTTTATCTCTGCCTCTTTGGCAGTGAGACTCTTTGTCGGTGATCATTGATCGTCTATCTCGGCCGGTCAGGCTTCAGCTGGTTAGTTTCAGCAGGTAGCGGTGATTATTTTTTGGAGGCTCTTATATTTGTCCTGTCTGGGGTGTCACAGCTCAGGATAGTCTCTAGTGAAGGGTTTGGTGTCTCATTTCTTGGTTCCCATGCAGACTCTGGATTAATGCTGACAGCGCAGCTAAACGTCTTTATAATTCCACCGTTAATGGGAGCCATGAAACCAGACTGATGCTCCAGTCACAGTGAAATGCTCGCTCTTTCTCACATCCCCCTCCTGCCCTTGTGAAAAAGAAGTGTGCTTAGTTTTATAGAATGTGCACTTGTAGTGTACTTCAAATCTTAAAAGTACAGATATGATATAAATGAAATCAAAGGCAGCTTAAGTGTACTTTAAAAAAGTACATTTTTATCACTATGTTTCTTAACACATTTGGTCATGTTTTAAAGAAATACACTTACAGTATTTGGATGTGTTGACTAACATACTAATACACATGTTAAGATTATTATAGTATCGGTCACACTGTAGTTTGGGGATTATTTTTCTAACTATTAACTTACTATTACACGACTTTTGCCTCAGTAGTTGTTAGTTTAGGTTTGGGGTAGGGTTAAGGGATCTAAATTATGCTCATGCCGAATAATACATTAATATGTGCTTTATAAGTACTAATAACCAGCCAATATGCTAGTGATATGTATGCTAATACGCAGCTAGTTAATAGTGAGAGTTGGTCCCTAAACTAAAGTGTTACCATTTTAACTGTAGTGTGTTATTTGATATTATATTTAAAGGTAATATAATTTAAATGCACTAGATTGCAACTTCATAAATACAAATTTATTTAAATATGACATACAAATAGAAATGACACTAAAGTAAAGATAAAAATGCTTGTCAGCAAATTCGGCAGCACACTTTAGTAATATTTCAAAGACAACAGAAGTAATTATGAAATTACATATAAAGATGTACTGAAGTGGGTCAAAAAGCATTCTTAAGTTCAGCTTGCTGCATTTAATATACAAATTTAAACTTTAATACATTATCATTTAATTATAAATAATATGAAATTAAGTGTCTGAAAACGTAACCTTCAATTCACACTTTAGTATATTCTTTTAAATGATATTATTTCTGTAATAAGCCCTTTTTCTAAAAGCTGTATTTCACCAAAAAAAACCACAAGATCTGGCTTTACTTGAAATAATGACGAAGTGAAGAAAATGCAAAATGCATAACCAAACAGTTGACGGTATTGACTTCCATAGTGTGTGTTTTCTTCTTTTTCTTTTTCATACTATGGAAGTCAATGGGGACCAACAACTTGAAGGTGAGTAAATGATAACAGATTTTTCATTTTTTGATGAACTTTCTCTTTAAGCTATATTTTTTAGCAAGCAACATAATACAGAATAATACAGAATTCTGTGGTAACACTTTAGATTAGGGAACACTATTCACTATTAACTAGTTGCTTATTAGCATGCATATTACTAGCATATTGGCTGTTTATTAGTACTTATAAAACACATATTAATGTCTTATTCTGCATGAGCATATTTTAGATCCCTTATTCCGACTCCATACCTAAACTTAACAACTATTTTACTAACTATTAATAAGCAGCAAATTAGGAGTTTATTGAGGGAAAACATAGTGAATGTGTTCCCTAATCTAAAGTTTCACCAATTCGGTGACAATCAACAGCTCATGAATGTGCATATGTTTCCTCTCCAGCTCACAGACAGTGTGAATGTGTGTGAAGCACATAACAAAGCATGAAAATGATTTTGTTAGACAAAGAACTATAGGAAACACATCTTTCCCACAAGACTGAAATGTGCAGAACAAACAGAGGAGCGTGGAGTGGGATCTCCTCAGAGATGTTTGTTTGTATGAAACACCTCAGTCAGTCAATTTCAGCAGTGATCCTTCCCCCCTTGTTCCAGTTGACATCCTCCAAAATCCCACTGCAGCAACACGCTTAACCTTGGGAAGGGCTTGACCAGTGCAATGTTTTATTACACCGACACTCGTACAACACTGGCCAGCTGGACACAAAAGCAAAAGGACTGTATAATGACAACAAGCAGTCCTCTAAAACCCATCATTAGCAAGGTTAACGACTGGCGCTGGTTAATGGAGCTGTGTTTTTTGCCCCAGTAGCTGAATCTTAAAGTAAGGGTCACACGGCACCTCTAATGCTTTGATTGATCTCCTAGTGGAATGGATGGATAATTTTAGTCACAGTTGTTCATTCAGGGAACTGGGACTGTGAATTGCATTGGCAATTCCTGAAACGAATGAAATGAGGGCATTTGCTTTATGCGGCGTGGGACGATGGATGATACGAGATAATCTCGGCTTGCCATCTCATCTCTCTTTTTCAGCCAAAAGCACTCATCTCTCATCACCGGGCCATGATTAGCGTTCATTGGCCCAAAGGATCAGGTGTTCGCTTCGCTGCAAATGTGCAAAACGCTTCAGAGAGAGACGTAATGGTGCTTGGCAGACAAAAAAATCAGCAGATTTTTTTTTCTGCAGATTTGCCACATGGTGAGAGAGACTGTTGGACTCACGGAAGGCTGTGTAGAGCTCCTGAAGGGTCAGGTGACCATCGTTGTTGTAATCATCGTAACGCAGGAGGTCTTGCATGGTGCACTCCAATAAGATATTTTCCAAATGCTCCTTTATGGATATCTGTAAAAGAACAGGAAGAATTCAATTAAGTTACAGTGCTGAGTAGTAACTGATTACATGTAATCTGGATTACGTAATCAGATTCCAAAAATGAAGTACTCGTAATTATAGTATATTACATTTTAAAATGCTAATAAAAAGATTACAGTTACTTTTTATGAATTACATGATTATATATTCACACAATGGCAGTACATTTTTCATAATTTATTGATTCTCCCTAATTCGTAATTTTTGCTTTTAAATTTTCTTTTCTAAAAATGCTTGCTTAGTGTGCTGTGCTCGTATTAGTGTTCTCGGTGCCCGGTGGCTGCTTCCAGTGAGCCCAGCCCATACAAGCTCTCTCCAAGACGGGAGTCCTCGGAACCAGACCATCCCCGGTCGTTTTGTGTTTCATTGAGTTTCATCCAGTTCTGTGTCATCGTACGACAGACTGCCTTGTTTTGTGTCTTCAATAAAGAGACTGATTCTAACGGACTGCCTTTGCACGTGGATCCTTTACAGCACCCCTGACAGCTACTGTGTTTCATTTAGCTTGAACTAAATGTTGTGCAAATAAACATGCAATCCATGCTTCTGAATTTGGGCAGAAAAAAGCACCTCTCAAGCTTTAAGACCATGTATAAAACAAATAATTATGCAAGTTACTGATAACTGTTGATTCTGGAAGTCAGGAAAAATAAATATTTCAGAGCTGGAATACTTTGCGCATATAATGTCATTGCTGTTTTCATGTTTATTAATGTTTGTTCATATAGTGCAGGGATTCGCAAACATTTTTGTTAACTAAACCCCTTAAAATAAAATATTTACTTGAAATATCTCTGAGGAACACTGTAAAAAATTACCGTGAATTTAACAGTAAAATACTGTAAAAATGCTACAGTAAAAACCTGTTAAATGGTTAACGGTAAATTCCCCTACTATATACGGTGAAAAACTGTATTGGACATTACATGTAAATTAACAGTAGTATACAGTTTTTGGAAGTGAAAAAGACCGTATAATTTACAGTGAATAACACAGTGAAATCCCTGCGTTACATTTCAAATTTGATGTTGTTTTGTTGAAATAACTATGTTTCGTCTTAGTTTTTTCTCATCAGTTTTGTATATTAGGGTTGTATGTTACACCTAATGTTGTTAAATTAATGTTTATTGCATTATTTCAGTTTCATGTGTGTTACCGTGATGGTGTTTAGTGTTTGTGTGAACGACCTTCTTTATATGTTTTTATTTAAAAGCTGCTTGTGATGGGCTTTTGTTCATGTGACTTTCTCATCACCACCTGCATTTGGTGATTATCAGTGTACAAAACAGATTTTAGTACTTTATTAGGTTGGTATATTAACATTATATCAGTTAATGAAATTAAGGTCTTTAACTGTAAATTTAAGTTGAAACAGTAAAACCTAAAATGTTGCTACCGTATTTTTTACGATAAAATTCCGGCAACCACAGCTGCCGTTTTGTTACCGTAAATTTTACGGAATTTTTTTAACAGTGAAGTTAATATTCCAATAATTTAACAATTCGCTTGTTTACAGTTCTCTGATGTCAGTTAATGTTAGTCACATTGACATGCAGGTAAACAAATAAAATATTTATATTTTTAGTGTTCAAGTGTTTAAATTAGTTTTATTTTACATTTGTATGATTCAATTAATTGTTAGTTTTATTTCATCTCACAAACCCACTGCAGTTCTTACATTAAGCACAGCTTGGGAAACCCCGGTGTAATGTAATGTTTAATGCATTTTATGATGTTGATATCAAAAATGGAATGTGTTTTCTTTCTCTTCGCTTTTTTTGTTTGATAAAGTTTGATAGAAATAAGTAATCTAAAAGTAATCTAAAAAGTAGTCATAATACAAATGAGTACCTAGATTACAGTTTTCAACATGTAATCTGTAATCAGTAATGGACAACAATCTACCCAGCACTGGTTACATAACATTATTTACAGGTATGATTAAACTCTTGTCTCATACCACGACATTTCTGTTCTTGATGCAGATTGGTTGACACACGTGTTAAAGGAAGAGTGCACCCTAAAATGAAAGACCTGTCAGTATTAGTTCATCCTCATATCATTCTGAACCAGTGTGCTGTCCAGATTTCAATAATGCCATTTTAACCCAATTCAGCAGAACCTGAATTGGGTTAAACATGAGCTTCAGTGGAGGGGAGGATAATGAAAACAGTGCTACTTTCAGTCTCCCATACTCTTAATTATCTATATTGAAAAAGAAATCAGAGGATTTTTGTATTAATATACTGTAATATTGCAACAGTGTTCATTTTCTTCCCTTGTGAAAAAGTAGTACATATTAGCATACTTTTATTAAGAGTCCTTATTACAGATAAAACCCTAATTTAAAAAACAGTTCATACTACTTAAGGAACAGTTCACCCGAAAATGTTAATTTTGCAGAAAATTTACTCACCCTTAGGCCACGAGATGTAGAACACCTTAATGATTGATTTGTTTCTTACAAACACCCAGATTTTGTATTCTTAAGACATTAATTTATGAACTGGAGTGGTGTGGATTATTGTGATGTTTTTATCAGCTGTTTGGACTCTCATTCTGACGGCACCCATTCACTGCAGAGCATCCATTGCTGAGACACTGATGCAATGCTACATTTCTCCAAATCTAATGAAGAAACAAACTCATCTACATCTTGAATGGCCCGAGGATGAGCACATTTTCATTTTTTCATTTAATTTTTTGATGAACTACTCCCATGAACATGTATGAACTGACTGAAATGTTTCTGAAAACTTAATTGCATGTTATTTAAATTTAAATTAAAAAGTATAACAGTTTAAATGTATGTTTATTAAAGTATATTAAATGCAATTAGTTGAATTTAAGAGTTTTCTTTTAACAAGCATTAATGGCAGAACTGAAATATACTTTAATGTCATTTCTATTGTGTATGTCATGTATTTTAATATGTTTTTAATTAAACATTTGAAATTATGAAGTGGCAATTCAGTACACTTAATATATTTGTATTGAAACTTGTAACTTGTAACTTGTAATATGTAATATTAATATGTAATATTAACTTGTAATATGTATTATCAAATAACACACTTCAGTTAAAATTATAATCAAATACTTTACATGTGCTTTAGTATGTTAGTCAACACATCAAAACAAGAGTACTTTAAAGTATGACAAAAGATGATTAAAACGTAATGATAAAAAATAAATAAAAGAAAATGAAAATGTAAATATTAGCACTGTATTTTTAAGTGTACTATAAAATAATTGTATTTTTAATACTTTATATTTTAAAATATAGTATTATCACACTTTATTTTGTTTCTTTTTTATAAGTGTGCAGTGTGAACAACAAACCAAATCTGAAATTTTTTTGTGAGCCCCTCGACATTTTTACATAGGGTCTGTAAAAAAAAAAAAAATTCTCTGAAATATTTCCTAATATTCAACATGATATTCAGGATAATGTGCATTCTGGCAGTCATTATAGCAAAGCAGAGTAAAGTGAAATGACCAGCTGAAAGTACGCTATTCCTTGCTTATTTTGCTCCATATCTTCTTGAACTGCAATGTCATGGGTCCCCTCACCTCTGCCAGCTCCTCACTGCTCAGACGGCCGTCCTGGTTTCTGTCTATATACTTGAACATTGTGTCCACCAGGATCTTCCTCTGGTCCATGGCATTTGCTTGCCCGTCCGTGGAGGTCCTGGGTTGCATGTCCAGCAGCATGCTTTTCAGCTTGTTGTACTCCGCCATGGTGCACGAGTTGCCTGTAAAGCCACACCAGAGGAATTTAATTAGTTGGATATAACCAAAGGCAATGAGGAGCCCATTTGCATTTATGCATGGATGCTTGTTTGCGATTTGCATTTTTGGACAGTCGTTCAGCGCAGGGGTCCCAATTAATTCCCTGTCATCCTGCGATTTACACTGAAAGACAAAAGGTAAACATTCTCATTTAGACACTTTAGCTGTATCACAGCTTCTTTCTGCGGTGAAGGATTAGCAAGCATGTTTTAAACTGTCACATTAATTCCCATGTGGCTCCGCAGCACTTATGTCTATAAAAGACGGTGGGGAAAATTAGAACCATGATTAATCAAGTGTGGTAGATTCCTTACTGGCAATAAAATTATGCAAACACAGCCCCACCCGCTGAGCCGTTCTTTAAGACCCCTCGAGTGGGAGGAAGATTGTTTCTTGTATCCGGCATGGAGGCAGCGCAGAAGTGTATAAAAAGCGCTGCTCGACTGATGAGAGGAGGAAATATAGTATGAATAAGTCATTAGGTGACACTCCTCTACGTGACGGATCAGAGCCTTCCACCGAGAGGAGTCTCACTACATCTAATGAAGAAAACAACAGTCAACAGTAACTGGCGCTGACCCCCACAGTAGAACTGAATAATCTCAAACATACATCAGGATGACAAGGCTGCGGTGTGCTTCATTGACTACATGCACACAGTAAAGTTTCAGGAGTGACCCCGCATTTAAATACAGGAGTGAATCCCTTAAATTACAGTTTCATGTGACTGACAGCATTGCGTTTGGTATCCGCTATTTTTGACCAAAGTAATATTACAGCGCCCGAAGACTCGTTATATTCAGCGATTTTAACTAAACCACCGTCGACACAGTTGGCATGTTTTTGTTTATGTTTGGAAGGTTGCGCTGCAGAGCGTGCTTTTGAAAGGGTTGCCATGTCCATTTATTATTATTAAGCATCTTTGGGCTTGGCTCACAAAACGATCCATTTTATGGAGTCAATAAAGTAGGCAGGTGCAGGTCGTGATATTTTAGCATGTGGTTTATTTTCAAGGATTTGAGTTTATTATGGGCTTGTTCTTATTTGCTGTTTTTTATAGCAAGATCTGACAACACTAATGAGTTGAATGTATCTTGTTCCCTGTGATTTCTTGTACTGCGCATACAGAAGAGACACATATCTGTGATACATGTTTAAATACGTCATTATCAGTTCGCTTCAGTACACAATAAGTAGAATTTCTGCAAATGTGGTTGTCACTACCTGCATTTTTCAGGAGTCAATTCGGTTGCAGGATGTGGTTGCCACTACCATAAATGACCAAACTGTGTGTGTAAGAACAGGATTAAGCACTAATAGGTGAAAAGACAGCCAAATTTAGTTGCAGTGTCTGCAGAATCACACGCACCACCTTGCTGAACTGAAATGAAAATTCACAATTTGAATTTAATTTCTGTTGAGAATAGAAAACAGGATGCAACACTGTAATGCAAATTTGAATTTAAGGAAGAATTATAATATAATTAAATTCCATAAGTCATACAGTAGCTCACTGATGTATAGTAGTGTAATTAATTAATTTCACCCTTTATGTTCAGTATGAATTACCTATGCACACAACACAACTCATTATCATAAACATCTAATGATGTTAACTTTTATTTTATGGATCATAATGAACTAATAAAACTAATGGACTAATGAAATTCCTCTTCAGTTGTGTGATTGTGTTGAATTTCTGTATACTGCATTTAGTTGGCTAAACGTCTCTGTTACATATGCAACCCTCATTCCCTGAAGGAGGGAACGGAGATCACTGACTCGCTGGCTGTCTCAGTGATCTGCCGTAAAACAGTGATTCTGTCCTAATTCCCTTACATATTATTGGTGGAGTTCCCTTTAAAATCTTAAATGATTCCCTTTGAGCTAAATTGACCTGTTTCCCTTACAGAGATGTTACGTCGATAGTGATGTATGGGTTTCCCTTTGGAACCCCAATCACCTCTGAATAGTAAAAAAACAGGCCAATGAACACTGGCGAGTTGAATTTGCATGCCCAGCCTCTCCTCCGTACACACAGCATGCATCCACTCATTCAGGTCTGTGCTGAGGAGCCGAGACTGCTTCCCGGCCATTCAGCGGTGTAGCCCGGGGTTTTTTGCAAGAGGCTCGTAACGTCTCTGTTCCCTCCTTCAGGGAAAGAGGGTTACATACGTAACCGAGACGTATGGGGTCCCTATGGAAAACGCCGCAACCACTGAACTATGTTACGAGTTTTGGTGATGCAGTCTGGCACCCCACATCGTAACCTACCCAGCACAATTGCAACATATCGCAATCTTGTCTCATATCGCTTTCTCAAGCATTGTTAGAATTAATAAAAAAGTTGACGAGTAACACAGTTTCATTTACTCGCCAACGCTGATTTTTACTCCAGTTTGGCGCTTAATTTTAGGCCCTGCATGACTTTAAATGTGTGACTAATTCTCTTATCTCATAAAGCATTTTCATTTCATGGTTACACACTAAAATATCTGTAGATATTTGTTATTGAAACTACATCAGCTATAGTCATATTAGACCTTATTCTCTGTCATTATGGGGGAAATTATTCTATTATGGCATTTAAAGAAGTTTTCCTGCAGCAGACATTTGTACAGTACATAACCTCAATGTCAATCCTGTCTGCTAACATGACATCAAGGTCATCTCCATACACAAACCTGCTCTTTTTACCCACAATCCCGCCCTGATCAATCACTGACGACTCTGACAGGAAGGTGTTCCGTTTGGTACTTTTCAAACATGGTAATGAAGTACATCTATCACTCGAGTGCTAAGAGAAAGGTCAGTGTTGAAACGTACAAATTGTTATGACATGCCATAAATCTGAGTTAATCCTCAAATATCTCTTTTTTTTTCTTACGCAGGTCTCTTATCGAATTGCTCCTCTTCTTTTTCACTTTCACACACACACGCACACACACACAAACACGCACACACACACACACATACACACACACACACACACACACACACACACACACACACAAATATCTACCATGAAGCACATTTCAGAGAGAGCAATCATATTGGTTCATGACTTACATCGCATTGCAATATTGGATAAAAATGTGTGTTTGTTTGAATGTATGAATGTTCATGAATGTATAAACTCACCTAAATTTTAAGGTTAAACAGCACAGTCAAATCACAAGGCTGAGCAGACGCTACAATGGCATCTTGACAGAGATCCAGTTTGAAACATTGAACCTCTGGAAATTCAGTGCTCTATTAGGTTCAGTCAGATCCGTTTCTCTTCATCTCTGTCCTGTTGTTACCCAGCGGCCTTTAGACCATCCAGAACGAGAGATCGCAAGCTTGTCTGATTTCTCTGGAGCTTTAGAAGCCGCGTCATCTGACCTTTAACTCATTTTTGTTTACACCTCTTTTCTACCAAGAAAGAAAAGTTCATTGGCATGTAGCGTGACTAATGAAGACTTGATAGGAATGTAAAGATATGTTATCTGATCAAACAGCAGATTTCACAGTGCGGTCAGTGTTTGAGAGTGTTTGAGCAGCCGTACGGGATGCCCGTGAAGCCATGCTGTGATGAATAACTGCAGTGATGTTCAATACATCCACGACTATGAATGCATGGACATGCATTATCAATCAGTTGGTGAATACATTGAACAAAATCTACATAAACCCAATTCATACTCATAAAGAAGCTCACTTATGATTATGTAAATTCACTGATTCAAACATATGACAAGCCATTTGACAATTAATTCTTAAAACACATCTATTTTCAAGTACTTATTTCTTAGCTATTCTATTACTTACTAGTATTTATAAATTAGCTACTAGTGCCATTTCCTTTTTAAACTTCAACTTTTAGTACTTATTTCTTTGCTACTGTCATAGTTATGTTCCGATCATGGACTTTTAGTTTGTTTTCTTCCCTCATGTTTCACTTGACCTAGTTTCTGTCATCCTTTGATTGGTTCATTTAGTTCACCTGTGTTAGTTAATTATCCTCATTTGGTCTGTGTATTTAAGTTCTTCTGTTTCTCCTTTAGTTGGTCCGGTGTTGATGTTGTTTTGCTGTGTGTTCCCTTTGCCTTCATGGATTATCATCTTCATGGATTCTATTAAACTCTTGTGTAGATGACCTTCATCTTCGTGTGCCTTTCCTCTACACGTAGCGTTACAGCTACTAGTATCTATTCTATTAGGTCCTTATCATGTAAGGACAAAATAATAATGTGCTGTCGTTACCTTGCGGAGCTATTACTACCTGATCAGCCCTTAATGACTTTCATTGCTGCAACCCAATGTAGTCAGGCTGATTCAGTCACATTAAAATCATATTTTTGACTTGAATAAAACCAGTTCATTTATGAAGCACTTTCTGAAGTCAGCTGACAATCGTTTTCTTTACAGTGCTGGCAGTGTCTCTGCAGTCTGTACGGCAACATGATCAAAAAGCTGAGAGCACTGCATGAAACCTAGTTAAAATGAATGCTCTTGAAGTTAGAAAAGGAACTCTTCCGAAGCAGGAGTGTTATGTATCCGCTTAGCTCAGCATATTAGAGAATCTGGCTTTTGACAGTCAGACAGTCAGTTTCTGTACATTTATAAGGTTATAAGCAATACGGCTAATCTCTGTGGATAAATGTCACAAGCGGCATATATTTAGGTCTCAACTATGGTTTTTATTATCCTGTCCTGTCAGGCATCGCATTTAAGATCAAAACACAGTATCTGCGACTTCAAATGTGCAAAGTATGTAATAAATACGACATACAAATGGTCATTTATCCTCTACACCTGAGCAACGCATGCTATACTGCAATACTAACACCAAGGTGTTTCTCAGGCATTACACAACTGGACAATAACCAAATAAATCCCCCCAAACACAGAGGTAGACTCACCTGGCAGTTTCCTGACCCCAGATCTGTCACCTGACAAAGGGTTTGCAGGAGGAAACAAT